GTGGTTGTTATGAGCTAGATCTGGAGAGTCCCTCAAAGGCTCATGTGTTGAAGGATTAGTCCTCAGCTGAGGGTGCTACTGGGAATTGGTGGAAGCTTTAAGAGGTAGGGCCTGGTGAAAGGAAGTTAGAACACTGGGGCTGTGTCCCCTTCCTCTCTGTTTGCTTCCCAGCTGCCATCAGGGGTGCAGCTTTGTTCCACCATGCATTCCTTACCACGATGTTCTGCTTTACCACAGGCCCCCAAATAATGGACCCAACCATGAACTTAACTTTCTGAAACCATGAGCCAGAATAAATCTTTTCTTCTTATAAAATGATTATCTCAGGTATTTTGTCACAGCAACAGAAAGCTAATACAATAGTAAAGGATTCCAAATCTCCATTGTTACTTTCCAGGGTACCACTGTGCTTACGAACACTGTCTCTGAAATTGGATCTCCTGAATCCAAACATGAGTCATTGCCCATCCATGTGTGACCTCAGTTTCCTTATCTGTAAAATGAGAATACTACTAAAACCCATCTACGGGTACATGTCAGTTAATATTTATGATAGTCTCTGCTTCTGGTTCAAACATTAAGTATCCACCCCAGATTTCCTTTGCCTCAAGTCCCCATTGCCAAGAAAGGGTCTGAAACCTTCATCCAGTAGGAGCTTCTCCAGATACTCCTTGTCCACGTAGAGCTCCCCCAGCAGTTGGCGGATAGTCTTCTCACTCTTGAATGAGCCCTTCCGCTTGGATTCTCTCTTGGTGTGGTGTGGGAGTTGCTTAATGGGATGAGGCTTCTGCTGGGCTTTCATACTCTGGAAAAATGGAGTGATACCCAACAGAGCCTCAGCAAGGAGCACAGAGTCCCAGCCATGGCCCAGAGCCTATGATTCCATATTCCTCTGCCGCAGTCTGGCTGGGCACAAATCATGAGCCACTGAAGCAGGAACAAACTTTATTTCTGAACTCCACAAGCACACGCCACCCACACGGCTCCTCCAGGAACCACCAACCGGAAATCCCTCCTCTGGCACTTCCCCAACCAATGCGAACTCTCCAGGAATCCCCGCGAGAATTCCCAAGTAGCGGGCCGAGGTGGACAGTAAAGGTCTAATATACAATTAAATCAATCCAGCATCATCTTAATGGCTCGCCTCTCAACCAATACTATTGGCAAAATGCCAGGGGCCATTCCGACTCGGTGTGGCTCTCAGCATTCCTCCTCTAGGACCTCTCTGTGGGCCGAGAACCATGGGACGTGCCTGGTCAGGCAACAGCTAGACACACAGGACCCCTCTAGAGTTGGGGCAGAATCCCATGACTGCCCATGATGGGCAGGAGTTAATCACTCCCAGGCAAGAGGGCCACTAGACATAGGCATACATGACCTCAGAACCAGGAACTTTACCTCGGCCTGCTTGCTTAAGAAGAACACGTCCCCTTTGTTCTCCAGCTTAATGGAAGAAGGACCTGCAAGGACAGAAGCCGGAGCTCAGGTTGGCCAAGTCTGTCAGGCATGACCTATCACATATTTCATTTAGAAATGGCTGCATTTGGCAGAAGGATAGTGGAGGCTGTGGCAGAGCAGGCCCCGAGTCAGCCTAGCAGGCAAACGGTACAGGATGTTTGGTACAAGAGTTTCCTAGGAGCTAGCCAGCCGTTGCCAGCCCCAGGCCATGGCAGTTAGATTTCCAAATAAAGGGAGGTCTGGGCACATGGTAAACTGCCCTGTGCCATTTCCACACTCTGCTGCCCACAGCAGCAAGCTCTCACTCACCTCCCTTGTCCTCTTGCTACTGAGCTACTGAGTAAAAACCCATCCTTTGTATATACGTGGTGAGGGAGGAAGCCAGGGCCTAGGGAAGGTTGGACTCAGGACCTCCTTTGACCCTGTGACTCCAGGCTAAAGACAGGCCTACTTCAAAACAGTCCTTCTAATGTGGCTTTGAAGAAAACAAAGACACTGTAGTACTCCGTACAGAGGATCAGGAGTTGGTTCTCCCAGTACAGTTTCTTTTGTTTTCTTTTTTCGATATGGGATTGGACCTAGGAGTGTTTAACCACTGAGTCACATCCCCAGCTCTTTTTTATTATTGTTTCTAGTTGTAGATGGACACAATATTTTATTTATTTATTTACTTTATGTGGTGCTGAGGATCGAACCCAGTGCCTCACACATGCGAAGCAAGCGCTCAACCACTGAGCTACAACCTCAGCCCCTCCCCAGCTCTTTTTAATATTTTATTTAAATACAGGGACTTGCTAAGTTGCTTAGGCCCTTGCTAAGATGCTGAGACTGGCTTGGAACTCAGAATCCTCCTGCCTCAGCCTCCTGAGACACTGAGATTACAGCCCAGGAGACAGTTTACTGTGCCTGGCCCAATCGACAAGTTTCTAATCCCTGACAGCATGAGCAATAGCTGAATCCAAGTCTTGAGACTCCCAGTGAACCTGCGGCTGGTTGCTCATCCACCTAACCTCAGCCCTTCCTCTAAACCTTGGGATTCGGGGATCCTTCCTGGATAAGGTCATAGGCCCTGTGCTCACTCACTTCCCACCGAGTTGTTGATGGCTTCCTGGGCTTTCTGAATTCCAACTTTGAATTCCCGATCAGGCCGCAATTTGTAACCTCGATGATAGAACACCAAGGCAAACTCAAAGTCTCCCATGGTGTACAGGGTCTCCGCCTTTTGTAAAATTCCCTGGAAGGAGAGAGACTCGAATCAAGGTGGACAGACAAGGCCTTACAGGACTCAGATTTGGCAGAAAAGAAGTGTCCTGGGTTGAGGGTCAAGGTTGGAATAGAGAGGGCGAGCAGGTGACCTGTGAAGAGAAACACGGCATCAGACACCAAACCAAGCAGTCTGGCGGATTCCTCAACTACTGGTAACCAGAGGCTGCGGCAGGCAATGGCAGTGAGTGGTGAAAGCAAGAGTTGTCCCACCTAGCTGGTCACCTTGCAGAAAGTTGGGTCGCTGTGGAGTGAAGCCTCAGCATCCTTCAGGGATTTCTCCAAGTCTCCCATCTTCAGGTAGCACTTTGAGCGGGCAACCAGGCAGTTCTTGTCTCCATTCTGAAGGTGAAGAGCCTGAGAAGGGAATCAGTCAGGTTGGCAGGCACCTGGAAGAGCAAGGTTTAGCAACTTGACCTAGAAAGTGCAGCCCTGACCTCCTGCAGAGTTTCAAGGGAACTCTTCAGGTCAGCAAGCAGGCCTCTGTGCCTTAGCAGACCAAAAGCACTGATCTTTGCTCAGTCACCTTGAACCCATTGACCTGCATGTGGCTTATCTTGAGCAAAGCTGAATCACAGCTATTCTGGATTAGTTGAGATATGGGAAGTACCTGTGGAGGTACTTTCTGCCAATGCTTATGATCCCCTTGGTCCACTCAGGTGATAAAGCCACAGGATATTTTGTGCATGCCAAATTCAATCACAAACCTCAAAATAAATTTCAAAGTCTAAGACAAACAAAATGGATTTTAGGACAATTTGCAACTTGGGTTATCCATTCCACTAGACTTATCTTTTCCTTTTTTTTTTTTTGTCTCTGGGATTGAATGCAGGGGCACATTATCACTCAACGACATCCCCAGTTTTTTTTTTTTTTTTGAAAGTAAAAATTTTTATTTTGATTGATTTCTCAATGGATAGTTCAATATAATGCCAGTCTTTAATGGCAAAAATTTGGTTCCGCTGAAACTCCATAATGCTACAGAGAGCTACTACTTTTTTCCAGGAAGTAGGTAAACAGCTGGAAAGAGAAAGCACAACTTTCTAGCAGCATGGCAACTTAAACCACAGACCTGAGAAGTCTGCAACTTTTACACCAAAATGGCACAAACATTTATTAGCTGGTGACAGAAGTGAGAAGTGGGGACAAGATGAAGACACCAAAAAGGGCACTATATGTAAAGACAAACAAACAATCAGATATATCTATAAGGATTTTAAAGGATAATTATAGAAAAGGGAACCAAATATTTTACTCAAATGCTTTTTAGAGCCTTTCTGTAGAGATACAAATATATATATATATTTATTTATCCAAAAATATGTTTTATACAGATAAATGTTTCTCAATTAAAGATGGGACCAAAGCTATAGTTATAACATAAAGCACTGTCTTTTGTAAAACTGAATTTTCAATTTCAATTGTAAAACTGAAATTTTTCAATTTCTTTATAGTTAGTGCATTAGTTTTCCAAATATAATTACCTGACATCTTTTTATAGATATAAATCAAGTAGGCATTATTTTTTAAAAGGGTTTGCAGGTTAAACAGTATTTTTCTAAGATGCTGTGCATATGAAACTTATGACAAGCCCCATTAAGAATCATTATTAATAAACATATCAAAAAGGGCTATATAAGCTGGATTTTCTTCTTCATAGTAAATATTTTTTTGCGTTGAAAATGCACAAGAAAAATTTTACCTCACAAGTACTTTTATGTTAATATTTTGATCCTATATGGCAATAAATCTCCACATGTTGTAACCATTAGTATGTATTTTTTTTTTAAATGGGGATGTAACACTAATAGCCACTACTTATAAAATAAAGCACACAATTATTTTGGTGATTTTACAAATTGTTTTTTCCAGGTTTAAAGGCTACAAAAATTCCTAAAAATTAGAGAACACTGAAAACATATTAAAAGTTTGACATCTGGACTTTATAGTATTTCATTTACCCTGAAAGATAACTTAAAAAAATACGACCTTGTTGGAATAGGTCACCTTGCTATTATTATAAAAAATTGGTGACAGCAAGAAATTGTTTCACTGATATGTAGGATTTTTGTAAATATTTTTCTCCCCAAATTATTAGAAAAATGTTCAAAGATTTAAAAACAAAAAACAAAAAAACACCAAAGTGAAACAAATGGTGGTCCCTAAACTATTTTGAAGGCAGGTAGCTTAGTCTAAGCTAAAGTATTTTTAAAATATTTTCATTCAGTAATCATCCTCCCCTCAAATGCCCTTTTAAAAAAATGCATGAAACAGTACAATAGCAAGAATCAAAGCACAAACTGTATTTTCAAGAACAGAAAAATTTCTAGTGCTGAAAGATATAGTAAAAAGCAGATTTCTTTGGGGACATTGATCAATTAGTTTATAATTCATTATGAAGATTTCTCTTTTCTATTACGGGGAGAGTCTGCTCCATTTGATGTTACTGTTCCATTCACACCATTTTCTGTTCCTTTTCTAGAAGATCTGCCTTTAGTCACTGTTGGTTTCTTCCTTACAGGTGGTGCCTGAAAAGTAGAGTGTTCCCTCCACCTCCGAAGCTGAAAATTAATGAACTTCCACATCATGAATGCTTGGGTAATGCAAATGGATGCCAGAACAGCGATTCTAACAGCCAACATGTTGAAGTTTCCTGTACTGAAATCCAGTTCCTGATTCTCTGCTCTTGCAAGGCCAAAACCAACAGTGAGTACTGAAAGAATTAAAGTCAGAAGTCTTCCCAAAACAAAAAGAACTGCCCACAGAGAAAATCCTTTCTGATACTTTTCATCACTAAAATAAAACAAGCGGGAAATGTGGAAAAGAAATTCAACAAAATAATGTAGCACCAGAAGAACGAGTCCCAGATGATTCAAGTTCAAAAGATAAGCTCCAGCAATGTGAAAGAGGTAAAGACCAATGTAGACAAGTTGACGAGGAATATCTTCTTTTTTGGTTTTCTGGAAGTAGAGTTCAGGGAAAGCATGAAACCAGTAAGCCAACTGTGATATGTAGAAAAACTTCATTTGAAATGTCATAAGGTTGTGGGGATAAGCCCTCCACAAGATCGTTGGATCTGAGATGTAGTTTTCAGAGACTAGAATGAATATGCCCCAAACACAAGCAAAAAAGTAGAATGCACTAAGCTGACCAGATTCATTAAACTTGCTGTGTTTCGTTTTGGAGAAGTACATTCGCCTGTTAATTTTATCCAACACATACTCTTGAATTATGGCATGAATAATTATCGCCACTAGCATGTAGAAGAAAACTGTAGCCAAATCTTTGATACCATAGTAATAAAGGGATGCTGATTCAGTAGCTTGTTCTTCTGTTGTGGGGAGGGTAACATTGTACTGAAGAGTAACAAAAATGATAGATGCTTTTGCTGTTATCTCGAACATAAGCCCCAGCAGGAAGACCATCGCCGCCACACAGGAGACGATGTCCGCGTGATTCTGCAGGGATGAATTCATGGCTCAGGACCGGGGGACTCTTGGTGCTCTTCTTGCGAATCGCCATGGTGGAGCCGCCGCCCGTGCCTGCAGGTGCTCCGCCCCGGCTCCGCTCTCTCCAGCTGCTCACCGACCAGCCGCCGCCGCCTCCCCCTGGCTGCTCCTCACAGCCCCGCCGCAGCCGCTCGCTGGGGCTTCACTTCCCATCCCACAGCCAGTACGCAGCCGCCGGGTCCGCCCGGAAAAAAAAAAAAAAAAAACTCCCCAGTTTTATTTTTTATTTTTTTGAGGGGCGACCAGGGATTGAACTCAGGGGCACTCAACCATAGAGCCGCATCCCCAGCCCTTTATTTATTTATTAGTTGTAGTTAAACACATTACCTTTATTTTTCTTTTTATGTGGTGCTGAGGATCCAACTCAGTGCCTTGCACTTGCCAGGCAAGCGCTCTACCTCTGAGCCACGACCCCAGCCTCCCCAGCCCTATTTTGTATTTTATTAGAGACAGGGTCTCACTGAGTTGCTTAGCACCTTGCCATTGCTGAGGCTGGCTTTGAACTCGTGATCCTCCTGCCTCAGCCTCCCGAGCTGCTGGGATTACAGGAGTGTGCCACCATGCCCGGGCCCAGTTCTTTTTATTTTTTAATTTTTTTTTTTTTTTAAGAGAGAGTGAGAGAGAGAGAGAGAGAGGAAGAGAGAGAGAGAGAGAGAGAGAGAGAGAGAGAGAGAGAGAGATTTTTTTTTTATTTATTTATTTTTTAAAAATGATTGGATATTTTTTTATTTTTTTAAGAGAGAGAGAGAGAGAGAGAATTTTAACACTTATTTTTCAGTTTTCGGCAGACACAACATCTTTGTTTGTATGTGGTGCTGAGGATTGAACCTGGGCTGCACGCATGCCAGGCGAGCGCGCTACCGCTTGAGCCACATCACCAGCCCCGAGAGAGAATTTTAATATTTATTTTTTTTTTTAGTTTTTTTTTTCGGCGGACACAACATCTTTGTTTGTATGTGGTGCTGAGGATCGAACTCAGGCCGCATGCATGCCAGGCAAGCGCACTACCGCTTGAGCCACATCCCCAGCCCTTATTTTTTAAGACAGGGTCTCACTATGTTGCTTAGGGCCTCAATAAATTGCTAAGGCTGGCCTCAAACTTGTGATCCTCCTGTCTCAGCCTCCTGAGTCGCTGGGATTTCAGGCATGTATCACCATCATCCTGGAATACAAGCTTTTTCTTCTTTCTTTTTTTCTCCCTGGTGGTACTGGGGATGAAATCTAGGGGTTTGTACATGCTAGTAAGTGCTGTACCATTGAGTACACATCCAACCTTTTTAAAACTTAATTTAATTTTAGGTATTAAAATTAATACCATTGAATCCATGGCCTCAAGCATGCTAGGCAAGCATGACTGGATTCAATCCCTAACACTGAGGGGTGGGGGTGGGGGGCTAACAATTTTAAAACATCTCCAGACCTTTTATTTTTATTTATTTATTTATTTGAGAGAGAGAGAGAGAGAGAGAGAATTTTTTTAAATATTTATTTTTTAGTTTTCGGCGGACACAACATCTTTGTATGTGGTGCTGAGGATCGAACCTGGGCCACACGCACGCTGGGCGAGCGCACTACCACTTGAGCCACATCCCCAGCCCCTATTTATTTATTTTTTGAGACAGGGTCTCACTGAATTGCTTTGAGCATCCTTAAATTGCTGAGGTTGGCCTTGAACTTCCAATAATCCACCTCAGCCTTCTGAGTCTCTGGGCTAACAGGCATCTACCACCATACCTGGCTTTATTTCTTTATTTTGAGACAGGGTCTCCCTAAGTTGCCCAGGCTGGCCTCAAAACCATGATCCTCATGCCTCAGACTCCTGAGTAGCTGAGATTATATGTACATACCACCACACCTGGTTCAAGCCTTTTCTTTCAATGAAACTAATTGAGAATCATCACTGTTTCAGGGGATTAATGTCAGGAAAACTGAAATTGTGATTGGAGTCTCCTAAATTAAGGGTGGCCACTTGTACTACTTCTCAGGTCCTGTCTTCTGTTTGAGATCATTACTATAGTCTGTTCTATACTGTCCTTCTTGGGACTTCAGATTGTATCCACTCCTTTCTAAGACCTTTCTACTTTTTAAGAAGAGGAAGTAACTACTGTCTTTCCTGGAATGAAACCTCTTCTCATGCAAGGCTACCATCCCTTGGGGCCATCTTTTCTTTCTGCCCAAGCTGCTCCAGGATGGGACTTGGTCCAGCAAGAGGAAAATGGGTGGGGGTAGGGTTCCCAAACTCAATTGTTCACCCATTTCTGGTTTTAGGGTGTGGTTGGTGGTTAAAAGGGACAAAAGACTTTAGATAGCAATTGAGAAGCTTGACTTTAGCAGAAGTCTTAGAATGGGTTAATGGACTATCCTACCACATCATTTGGAATAAGAGGCAGGCTGTGGGCTGAAGGTGTAGTTCAGTGGTAGAGTGCTTGCCTAGCATGCTTGAGGCCATGGATTCCATGCCCAATACTGAGGGGTAGGGGGTGGGGGGGCTAACAGTTTTAAGACATCTCACAGAGCCAGGGACAGTAGTGCAGGACTGTAATTCCAATGGCATTGGAGGTTAAGGCAGGAGGATTGCAAGTTTAAAGCCAGGCTCAGATGTTTAGCAAGACCCTAAGCAACTTAGTGAGAACCTGTCTCAAAATAAAAAATAAAAAGGGCTGGAGATGTGGCTCAGTGGTTAAGAGCCTCTGGGTGGGGAAAAAAAAAAACCAAAACCAAACAAACCTGACAGTTGACTTGTGCCAATGCACTGTACCGTGGATAGGGTCTCAGTTTGGAGTCTGCGTGTCTAGATTTGGATGCTTACTCTCTTCCTCTACCGCTTGCTAATTCAGTAAGCTTAAGCATGTTGCTTAACTTTTGTATCAGTTTTCTCATGTATAAAATGGAGTAATAATAGCCCCTGCATGCACCTCCTTATTGGCATATGTTATGCTGGGCAGCGAGTCTGAAACAGCATCCAACCCCCTTAGGATGTGGTGGTGCAATTTAGACCAAGGTTACTGTAACAATGCTGATTATTTTACTGACAGCCTCCTTTCTATAAACATCCGTGTGCCAGACACTTCGCAACTTCTACATGCCTCTCTCCCAACCCATCTCCAGCCAAGGATGGGAATTCGAGACTGCTCTATGAAAGGTCAGTTAATCGCAAAACATTTAAGTAAAAGTAAAGGGAGAGGTCACTGTTAATGCAGAGAATGAAGAACGCAAATGGAAATTGGTAGAAGATGACCAGGCACCGGGCTTATTTAGGATATTGGTGCATCAATCAGGAGTTAGTATTAGACCCAACAGGGTCCTCCAGGCAATTTGAGGACCTCAGCGCTACTCACGTTGCTAAAGCTCTGGGCGGCTTTAGAGAATTCCCCGCGCAGGTAGAGCCGCTCGCCCTCTGCCATGTAAGAGGGAAAGGTACTTCGCAAAGTTTCAGTTTCGGGTTCCAACATGGTGACAGGCTTTGGGGAAGCTGAAGTGGAGAAAGGGAGGAAAAGAAGCTGCAGAACTTCTGTCTGGCTTGTAGAAGACTCGTCTCCTAGCAACCGAGAGACAGAGACTGACTTCCGGTCCCGCCCTTGGCTCCTGCGGAGTCTTGGTCCCTGGCACCCCCCGACACATACACAGCGTATGCATGCGCATGCGCCTGGGCGGTGCACAGGGTCCGCTGATGCTGAGCGCGTGGACAGCGGCTGGAGCCTGGCGGGGCTCTAGAGTGATCGTTGTCGCGTGGTTAGTTGGTTCTCTTCCGATTTACCACGTGGAAAGCCTCCTGTGCAAGGCAGTCAAGAAAAAAATAGAGTTGGAGGCACAATTCCAAGTAAGGGTAAGGCATACCTGCCCCCGTACCGCCATCAGGGAGCGTTTTGGACTTGGAGGCCGAGTGCTTGGGCAGCCTCGCGTGACCCTGAGCGAGGTACTTGAACGCCTTGCGTGTTCTACCTGCGAAAAGAACATGAAAATAGTAGAACCCTCGGTGATGTGAGGATTTGCATGAGACTACGATGGAAAATAACCTTGGGTTCAACATTCAGTTTAACCTATTTATTAAGCACCTATTTGTAGTGGACCTTGACTCAGGTCGACCCTGAGTTCCCTACCCATCCCTCACCACCACCCAAAAAAGTGGACTCAGAATTGGGCCTGGTGGTTTACACCTGTAATCCCAGCTACTCAGGAGGCTGAGGCAGAAGGATCCTAAATTCAAGGCCAGCTTCAGCAACCTAATAAAACTCTGTCTCAAAAAAAAAAAAAAAAAAAAAAAAAGGCATGTAAGAAGAAAATGCAAGAAAAAGGAAAAATAATTTTGACTTTAAGTTAAAATTCTCTGCTCTTCACAAGACATTATTAAGTGTAAAATCAAAAGCTGTCACACAAGGGCTAGGGATTTAGCTCAGTAGTAAAACACTTGCCTAGCTTGAAAGAGGCCCAGGGTTCAATTCTTAGCACTGAAAAAACAAACAGGGGCTGGGACTGTGGCTCAGCGGTAAAGCACTCGCCTAGCACGTGGGAGGCCCTGGGTTCGATCCTCAGCACCACATAAATAAATAAAATAAAGATATTGTGTCCAACTACAACTAAAAATAAATATTAAGAGAAAAAAAAACAAACACAGACTGAAACACTGAAATAGAATAGAATATTTGCAAAATAGGTATCCATATCCAGAATTTGAATCTTCCACACATCAAAGTGAATTTACAACTTGATAAGACAACCCAAACTGAGAAATGACCCAGGGTTTAAAACAGTTACTTGACTTAAGAAGATATGGAGAATGCCCACTAGAATGATTAAAATATAAAAGATTAGATTTGCCCAAAGTTGTGGACAATATAGGAATTGTGACCTACCATGGTCTGTGGATTAGAAGGCCAGAAGGAGATCCTCTCCACCATACTGGGATGAGATGGATCCACTCAGGGTCCAAGAGCTGGTGGCATAGCTGGAGGTGGAGAAGATGTCCAAGAAGTACACACAATGACCAGTGTCTGCCACCAGGAGTGTATGCCTCCCCACTATACGAAAATAGATCCATCTAAGATCAAGTTCGTGTGTCTAGACTTTGAAGACTAGGTGTCTCCAAATACCTGGACACCCATGAGTAGACTGGCAAAAAAGTTGACAAGAGTTTTCTATATGGGATGAAGGGCTAATGAAGAGGGGGCAGCAG